ATCTTTCTGATTGGTTGATAAATTGAGTCACTGTCGATGTGTTTGTTGATTGCTGATTGGCCTGAGTGCCAAGCTTCTGAAAATTCTCTAGTGTTCTTTGTGCTCCCCCTACCCAGTATTTCCACATTGTTCCAATCAAATGTGTGTCCATAATTGTCGGTGTGTATTGATATAAGCGAAGCGCTGTCGTGGCGTTTGACTGCTAATTGATGTTCACGTAAACGGAGCTGAAGAGGTCGTCCACTTTGTCCTATGTAGTGTTTTTCACAGTTTGAGCAGTTTATTTTGTAGATAATATTTGGTTTTTCTTCCTTTGTCATTTTGTCCTTTGGTCTACATAGGATTGACTGAAGTGATTCTGTTGGTTTGTGTGCCACACCTATTCCGAATGGTTTCAGTAGTCGTGCCGTATGCTCCGATATGTCTTTGATGTATGGCAGGATGATGCGTTTATTTGTTCCTGTGCTTGATTTCACTTCTGATGATGGTTTCGGTTGATGTTTTCTGATGAAGTTGCGTGGATAGCCGTTCTTTTGGAAGATAGTCATCATGTGTTTTTCCTCGTTTTTTAATGTTTCGTATGTGCTGCAGTGTGTCTTCGCTCTCTTGAACAGAGTTTGTATGCAGTTAATCTTGTGGGTTCCTGGGTTGTTGCTGTCGTAGTTGAGAATTACGTCGGTGTGGGTTGGCTTCCGAAATACTTGAGTTTCTAGTTTTCCTGTGTTAGTTCTGGTGATTAGTACATCCAGGAATGATAGGCTGTTGTTTGATTCCTTTTTCATCGTGAATTTGATGCCATCGAAGACGTTGTTGATCCGATTGTAGATGTTCTCCAGCTCATTCCTTTTGATAATAACGAATGTGTCGTCTACATAGCGAACCCACATTTTTGGCTTGATCACTGGCAGAATCGACGCTTCCAGTCTCTTCATTACAGCTTCGGCGATGAGTCCTGATATTGGTGATCCCATTGGTGTTCCTTTTATTTGTTCGTAGACTCTGTTGTTGAATTGAAGGTACGTTGTTAAGAATAGGTCGATGAGTTCAAGCAGACTTTGACTCTGAAGCTTTGTATATTTGTGTAGATTTGTGTCGTTGGTGAGGAGCAGAGAAAGAGTTTCTTTCGCCAAGCTTGGTTCTATTGAGGTAAATAAGGATGTTACGTCAAAGGATATCATCATTTTGTCGTTGTCAATTTGAATCCTCTTGAGTTTATCCCAGAATTCTGCGGCAGACTTAATGGAGTAGTTGGATTCATCCACCAGATGTTTTAATATCCTTGAAATTTCTCTTGACAAGTTGTAGGTCGGGGTTCTTGGGAGGGATACAATAGGACGTAGTGGGATGTTAGGTTTGTGGAGTTTCGGCCTACCGTAGGATCGTGGAATTATTGGTCCATTGGATTTCACTCTCCATTGATCTTATTTTGATATTTGTCCTGCCTTGACAAGCCTATTTAGAGTTCTTGAGATTTGATTGTCCAACTCTTATAGGGTTTGTGTCGACTGGTTTATACACGCTTCTGTCCTGAAGTAGATCCTCGGCTTTCTTGATATATTCTTCCTTGTCCATGATCACTGTCGTGCGTCCTTTGTCCGCTGGAACTATGACTGTATCTTCCCTGGTTTTGAGTTTCTTTAGAGCTTTTCGTTGTTGTGCTGTTAGTTGGTTGTTGTCTCTCTTCCGTCGAGTTAGTGGTACTATCGTTTGCCTTATTTCTTGCTGAGTCTCTTCACTTATTCCTGCCGTTTTAAGTGATGACTCTAATGCCGCGAAGAATTCCAGTTTAGAAGCGTCCTTCGTGTTATAGTTTAATCCTTTTTGGAGCAGTTGTACTTCTGTTGTCGTTAGATGTTGCTTCGATAGGTTGACCACACAACTGTTTGCGTTTTCTTCTGTCGGTGGCTTTGAAATCTTGACTAGTTTGTCTTTGAGGATGCTTCTTCTTTGTTCTCTGTGTCGTCAGAACACTTAACAACGGTGACAACGGCGATCGAACTGTCAAGCAGTAGCAGTAGTGTGGTGTGAGCTACTTATAAGTAGTATATGACGTGAGTGTCAACGTAATGTCTAACAGCAGAAGATGGGGAGAGATCAAGAAAGGAAGAGTTAGAAGAACACAATGGAATTTGTATGAAACGCATGAATAGTGACAATGGATTGATGTTTTGCAACAGGAACAGTCCAGTTCGATATGATGAACTGATCTTTTGGAAATTAACGATTTACGATATGGTTTTCCGATTTTACTGAGTAACTCTGTAATTTTCGTTAAATACAATTCGGTTGCCCCACCTGTGTTCTCGTTCACTACAGTAGTAGTATTGTCAGTCGAATACCAATGAGGATAGCTTCGAACTTGATACTGTAATAAACATGCGTTATGTAGTGTTTCATAATGAATTGATGTAGAATAAACTATGGTAGGCTTCGTACGACCTATTTTTGCCAGGCCATAATGGAGGATAGAAAAAGGCCTGTCATACATTTTATTGCCTATTCACACACTGTAATTTAGACATTTTATCCAAAACGTATACGAGTGTGTCAGTCTCGGACTTAGTGAATGTCTGCACTCCAAAACCGTAATTGGTTGCAAATAAAGACAATCAATAACTTGATCCACTACTTATCGACTGACACGTAAATTACTACATCTGCCAAACTATTTATTACCGATTCACTCTCTGAGGTATCTTGTGTTTTGTGAATGCTATTGGTAATTGACAATATACATAATAATATCCCAATACAACTGGGCTGAGAAGATTTAAACCACGAACAGGGCGGTGAGAAATAAAACTCAAAAATTTGTGATCTTTTTCATTTTTTTTTCAATGATTTAAAAACTACTCATGTAATTAGTTTGACTTGACTAATTTTACTATGTGGTTACTGTTCGACTAATATCTACAAGTTTTTTTCTGATTACAGTTTGATTTGGTTACGTGTTCCGTAAATAATTGTTAGTATGTACTGGATGGTTGATAGCCTTGGGTCTCAACAGTCACATGTCTTAAAGGAACTACCGCAAAACGACCAAATATTGTTATTCTCAAACTTGACAACGGTTCTGGCGTAGTTGTAATAAACAAATGTAACTATAAAATGAAAATACTATCCATGTTTACTGATGAAAAGAAGTTTTTGATTAATGTTTCATCAAATAAATGAGGTTAGAAAATTAAAATCAAGAGTTAACTCCAATCAATCTAATGAAGCTAATCAAAATGACTGCGGATCAACAAGGATGAATTCAATGAATTTCGAGGTTTACGGAAGCCTTGGCTATTCGTAAATTTGAACCCCCCCCCCCGACCTTATGTGTACAGAAACTAATTGTTATAACGTTGAATTTACTCTGGTAATATTTAAGTTATTTTATGACCTGGGGTAGGGTGACAATTTTCCTATCCTTTCTAAATATTACGTTAATTTTCTCTCTCCTACATCTACAATTATCACAGTATGTCTATCTGAACTTTTATTTAATTTAATGATATTCATATAAAACACCTGGACAAGAATAGATGTGTGACCGGATTGTTCGAAAATGTATAAGCGCAAATACATCACAATAGTTTTCAGATCAATTACGTCTTCTCAATGTTCTGTCAAAATTTATAAAACGGACTAATTGTTTCAAATATCTCATTCTTGTTGCATATCAATATATATATATATATATATATATATATATATATATATATATATGACAGCTGAAAATCTACGAATCATTTGTTTTCGGTCTACTGTTAAGAAGAAAACTAATATTCTAGACAGCTGTTCACTACATGATTCGTCTTAGTTTCACTTCCAAGATTAATATGTGTAGCTAAGGTCTTGAAATCACCTGCTAAATAGAGAAAATTTACATTAGACAAACCTAGAAGTTTTAGTCGTTTAAATAAAATGTCGTCGCATATCGAAAACATCTTTGGCCATCAGTTTGTTCACGTATATTTTCATATAAAATCAACGATAACTAAGATGACTGCTCCGAACATTAATAAAGAACGGATTGTAAGTTTTCTGATAGGTTTAAAAGATGAGAGCGAGAATCTTTATTATAAGTGATACGCAACAACTTGTGATTATGACTTACTGACCGTCTAGCTGCTGAATTAAAGCCTTATCTGTCAGATCAATGCAAACGATTCACAACCAGTATCAACAGGTTGTGTAGAAAAATAAATGTCTTTACAGCAATTAGCTTCGTGAAAGCCTATTTAGGTAAGTAAGTAAGTAAGTAAGTGAGTAGTACATCCTGTTTGTTACATGTAAAATAATATATTCCATAAGTAGTTTGATACATCTACTACCCATTCGGACACTTGATAATTGACTCCATATTTTTTTTAAATCACTTACACTTGAGCCTGGAACTGTAGGAGAAAAGCAATGAAGTAAGAACATACATGCACAGGATTATCGATCATTGTCAAATTAGGCAAATTCGATAACAGAATAGGTAACAAACTATTGAATCAGTGATATATATATCTATTAAATATCTTAGAATTTTCTAAAAAACTTCTGTTATTATATAGTGAATAGAGAACATGTCATGTTTCAGTAATTATTTTTGGTTATCGAAGATTTTAATGAAGAATTCAGTGAAAAAAAATACCAACAAATCTGAGATACAAAAAAAAATTTATAATAATTAATAATTATGTAACTAGAAATATCAATTATTCAAAATAGTTGAATAGACCGGGCGAAAATATATGTTTGTCAAAAATAATTATTATTATTATTATTATTATTATTAATAGAGATGATTTGAAGAATGAATATGATAATAAAAATATTGCCAAATACTGGCAACAATGATAATGATGATTTTTGAACTTTGATGAGAAATGAATAAATAATGTTGTTTTATTATTTAAAAAAAAACAAAAACAACTAATCATAACAAGGCGTCATTTTAATTTGATGAACAGTTATGTTAGTAGTAGTAGTAGTGACAGTGTGTACAATTTCATTGCCGGATTTTAATAATCACCTGTAATCGATCCATACGGAGGTGGATAACTGTTCAAATTAACCGAAGACATATTGTTATTTTGTAAATAATCATTTTCATTAATGATAACATTATGATAATTATTATTGATTAACTGGTGATTTGGTTGAGGAGTAATTAATTTTTCATACTGAAATGGTTCAACGATATGATTGTCAATCATTGAAGGTGGCATCAGTGCTGATGTCGCGGCCGCCGCCGACAATAATGATGAATCAGTGTCGACATCTTCATTATTATTATTATTATTAACAAATTCCGAGATTCTTTGATAACTTCTACGTTTTAGACGACGTATTGTATGAACACCAATGATCACACTGACCATAATCAATATGCCACAAACTGTCGCTGAAATGACCGACTTTTCGTTGTTACTGTTGTTCGTATCATCATCTGATGGTATAATATCAGGATCGCCTAGGCCAAAAATCATTGTCCTTTAATACAATCGCACGTTAACAGACACGTTCATAAACAAAATGAGAAACATACAAGGACAAACTTAAAATTAAAGAGAATAACACAAGGCAAAAAAAAGCCGTTTTAATTTTTACAAAGAAAAAAAAATTTTTTTTCAACCTTTCTCTATTTTGTTCAAAGGTAGAAAGATTAAATTTTTCTTAATGAAACCTTATGTAGAAAAGATTAAAATTACTAACCAAAAAACTTTGATAACTCTTGGTTATGAAACTATGCTCTATGAAAGTGAACGTTAGACGTAGATTGAATGTGTTTAATCACAAGTGATTGCGATTGGATGAGTTCGGCAAAAATAGCCAATTGGCTGATGGGATAGTATTGTAGTGAATGAGAACACAGGTGGAGGCAACCGAATTGTATTTAACGAAAATTACAGAGTTACTCAGTAAAATCGGAAAACCATATCGTAAATCGTTCATTTGCAAAAGATCAGTTCATCCTATGGAACTGGACTGTTCCTGTTGCCAAACATCAATCCATTGTCACTCTTCATGCGTTTCATACAAATTCCATTGTTTTCTGACTCTTCCTTTCTTGATCTTCCCCCCATATTATGCTACCAGACTTTACGTTGACACTCACGCTATATACTACTTATAAGTAGTTCGCACCACAGCACCACAGTATGATATTTTCATTGACTAAATTAATTGGAACTTGTAATTATGTAATGAACACAACTACTTTCTACACTGGTACATGATGTTTGTTTGGTTTAAGAGTAATTTGAAAGAAAACTCTAGAATGACAAAAAAAATAAGACAACTAAAAATGCAACACACCATACCCCATGAAGTGATTGGAACTGTGTTGAACTGAGAGCAACGTTAGTGAGTGAAAAATAGTTGGTTGGTTGCGTTCTAGCCGATTGATCATGATTATTGATTGAAGATATTCAATGATATGGTATATAGAATTGGTTAAAATGATACAGAAGTGTGGTGTATTATACATACATACACACACACACTATTTATTTTATATTATTAGATCATGAGTTTCAGTATTCAATTCTGGCCATATTATTATGCTTGACATTTAGTCTTTCAAATTATCATATCGGTTAGATTATTTCAATTCATCATCATCTTATTACATTCATCTAATCGCGTTGATTAATGTAAATGAAAACTTCGTTATTTTATGAGTAATTAATAATTATCTGAAATTGGGACTGAAACATTTCTAGATACGTCAAACAGCCCTTTTTTTCACAACACAATTCAATAAACAACAATGAAGTTGTATTATATATACTACGGTCATTGGAAATCAGTTCTCAAATAAATAATTGTACAAGAATTGGATATTTTAAGTGTATCAGTCGGTCAGTCAGTTACAATGTAGAACTTCGTACGTACGTTCATCAATTAAAGTTGTCCTACTACATTAGCGCAGAGAGATTGAATTGTTAATGAGAATCCCATAGTAGTAGAGGGAGTAAAAGTATTAGCACTAATTGAAAAGATTAAGTATCCAAGATAGGATTAGGGAAGTGTATCCCAGTCAAATTAATTGGAAAGTCAGTCAGTCAATCAGTTGCAACGTAGAAATTCGTACATATGTACATAAGTTCATGTTACCATACCACATTAGCACAAAGACGCAGATGTCAAATCAAATCCCATAGTGATAAAGATAGTAGAGGTATTAATGGTAATGAAGAAGGCTAGGGTTTCAAGATATTATTCAAGAAGCATAATTCAGTGAGATAAGGTTAGAAAGGCTAAGGTAGAGGTGCTGACGATTCCAGAAGATTAGCATTTGAGAGAGCTCAAAGAATGAATGCACTTGCACCTATGCAGACGATTCTGAGCCATGTCGTTCAACGTCTCTAACCATTGGTGACTTTCGTCTCGCGGACCCCAACCAGGTAGTCGACAACTACCAACACGACTCAGCCCACTACCCAGTGAAGTCGTGGATTTCTGCCATGTTTTGGTCTGGCCGCCCCTAACTTTCTTCCAACCTATTCCTACACTACAAAACAAAGCTCTTCGAGGAAGTCGGTGGTTAGGCATACGCAGCGCATGTCCCAACCACCTCAACTGATGAAGTTTCAGCATTTCATCTATTGATCTGCCATCCTTACCCACTACTCGTTTCCTAACGACAGCATCGCATACTCGGTTGTCCCACCGTATACGAGCAATGCTTCGTAAAATCTATGATCGAAAACCAGTAGCCTACGAACATCTTCTACTCTCACTGGCCATGTTTCACAGCCATAAAGTAAGACGGAACGAACTGCTGCGCAGTACACCCGTCCTTTAGTCAGCGAATGGATATCACACCTACGCCATAAGTGACGCAGGTTGGCAAAAGCCAATCGAGCTTTCTGTATCCGAGCTGAGATTTCGTCAGTCACCAGACCGTCAGCATTGATGAGACTCCCCAGATAAGTGAAGTGATCTACACGCTCGACTACTTCACTTCCTATCACCAGTTCAGGTGCCGATGCAACCCAGTCTTGAAGCAACATTTCGCATTTAGGGGGGGAAACCGCATGCCGAACATGCTCGCAATGTTGCTTAGGGTAGTCAGAAGACTCTGCATTTTGTCAGCGTCTTCACCGAATAGAACTATGTCATCGGCATATTCTAGATCAGTAAGCGACTTTCCTGGTAGAAGGTCAACCCCTGAAAAATCTGACGAGCTTAATGTTAACTCTAAGAGGATGTCTACGACAAAGTTGAACAAGAATGGAGAGAGTGGACATCCCTGACGGACACCACTTGATGTAGAGAATTCTGATGACAGTTCGCCATATGCTCTCACCCGACCAGTAGTGTTCGAGTAGAGAGCTTGTATAAGGTTAATGTACTTCATTGGTACACCTTTCAATGACAGACACTGCCACAGAACCTCACGATCCACTGAGTCGAATGCCGCCTTAAGGTCCAGGAACACGACTATTGTGGGACGTCTAAATGTGTGTCTGTGTTCCAGGACATATCGTAGTGTGAATATGTGGTCTATACAGTCATGTCCAGGTCGAAAACCAGCCTGTTTTCTCCAGTCTGCTCTTCAAGAGCCTTCGTTAGGCGTCGAAGTATTATTGAGGTCAATATTTTAGATAGTACATTGGTTAGACTTATTTCCCCGTGACTGTCACAAGAAGACTTGTGTTCTTTCTTATAGATTGGGACAATCAGTGATTGAGACCACTCGGACGGGATTACGTCTAGTCCCCAAATTATACCTAAGATCTCAGTCAATCTGACTTTTAAAACTGGACCACAAGCCTGAAAAATCTCAGGGGTAAATCCATCAGGACCCACTGCTCTTCTTCTCTTCAGATTTCCTATAGCTTTTTAACTTCATAAAGACTAGGGGGACTCTCATCGATTTGCCATTCAGGATGACTGGAGATCGTGAGTAACCGAAGGGTGGCTCGAGGCCAGTTGAACTGATCCCAGAAGTGTTCTGCCCATCGGTCCAGTCTCTTGGAATGAGAATGGATAATAAGACCTTACTAGCATGTATCACTGCTGTTTCCACAGCCTTTTTGATATCATTCCAAGCTGCATCCGGATGGGAATCGCCTACATGGTTGCTTAACTCTGTTTCTGGTTGTTCCTGAAATATAGTCTTAGCTTCATTATCATTAAGTAAAACTCTAAGAGGCTTCCTTATGGTGTCTTTCCTACGTCCAGTAAGCCTCGAACAAATACGCGCTCGCACTAGGGCATGATCTGAATCCAAACATGTGCCCCAGAACGAGCGACAGTCTTCTATCGAACCCCTCCATCGGTGGCTGATGGCGATGTGATCTAGTTGCGTCCAACGTTGAGACGACTTTGGAGGTCGCCAGGTCAACAGATGTTTTTCCTTATGCCTAAAGTTAGTGTTTGCTAAGAATAGGCGGTTGTCTGAGCATACTTGCAACAGACGGTCGCCATTGTATCTTCTCTGAGCCGCGACAACATAACATCCACCTAGATTTCTTTCCTTCTCACTTAGTCCATCTACTTGAACATTGACGCCATCAGCCATTACTACTACAATACAGCGCCTAGCTTTTTGGAGGATGTCCGAAATCTTTCTGTAATTCTCATCTTTCACCTCGTCTGAACTGCAGTCAGTGGGAGCGAAGGCAGATACGACGAAGAGGCAACGGCGAGTGTCCCCATCTTTCCGAATCTTTACTGTCCCATTCAGTCGGACAGCGCAAAAGCGACTGTCTGCTGGGATCCAGTCTAGGAGAGATAGTTCTGCCCTAGGACCCAATGCTATACCTACGCCAGAAAGACCTCCAACAAGAAACACCGTGGCTTCCAGAAACACGAAGAGTATATCGAGTTGGTTCTTTACTTTGACAGGGTGAGATCAAGTTAATGATTTTACGACGATCCTGTATGCGCGTTTCCGAGACACAACAAACATCTATAGCGCGAGATTCTAAAGACCTAGCTGATGAAGCCTGTTGCCCTATTCGGCATAGGGTTAGAACATTAAAAGCTCCAAACTGTAGTCTAGAGCGGGGTTTCAGGAGACCAGGAATGACGTTTCGTGAACTCGCATCATTTGCATTAGCTAGGTAATGTGATAAAGGTATGTGAGAAGAGTTCGTTGTGGAGAGAAGAGAGGTATGTGAGGGTGTATGAAGGATTTGATTTCGACCAATTTGGTCTCGTGTACTGTTATGGGTATGAGGGCGGTTGTCACTTCCCGGCTGCCCACACCGTGGAAGGTTGCTTCTTGAGGGACCTGAAAAGGAAGATAGATTGGTGTTGGTCTTGGAGACCTGGGAGCGTGACCGAGGAGCCTAATGGACAACTGCTTGAGGCCGGTCACGCACGGCCTTTTTATGGAAGGATTTTTGAGTATTGGCTCCGCTCTTAAAGGGCATTGGAAAGGTAAGAAATGGTTATGAGGAATTCCGAAGATTAGAATTTGAGAGAAGACCAGATATAGGTGTATCTGCGCCATTACGAGTGACTTTCGGTAATGTCCTTCAAAGTCTCTAACAATCGGTTTCTATTGTCTCGCGGACCCCGATCCGTTATCCCACACCTACCGACACGGCTTAGTCCAGTTGTCCATGACCTTATCAATTTGTGCCATGTTTACATTTGACTACCCTTAAATTTGTTCTAGACTTCTCCTACATCACAGAACATTGCTCGGGAAGGCAGTCGGTGGTTAGACATACGAAACACATGTCCCAAACAACTCAACTAATAAAGATTCCCCATTTTATTAATTTATTTGCCATCCTTACCGAGTACGTTTCCTAACATCATAATTGCTTACTCGATGCTCCCAGGATATACGAGCAATGCTTTGGAGACACCTATGATCGAATACCAGTAACCAAAAAATATCTATTCTTAGTGGCTCTGTTTCACATCTGCATAGTAGGACCGAGAAAACTGCTGTGCAGCAGACTCGTTCTTTGGTTAACTAACGGATATCTCATCTACACTATAAGTAATGGAAGTTCGTAAAATCCAGTCGAGCCTTCTGTATCGGTGCCGAGATTTCGTCAGACACCAGGCCATCAAGATTGATGATACTTTAAAGATAAGCGAATCAGTCAACAAGCTCAACTACTTCATTAGTTCACTAGTTCAAGTACTGACTCAAGCTTACCCCGAAGCAACACTTTGCATTGTTGCTTAAGGTGGTTAGAAGACTTGGAATTTAGTCAGTGTCTTCACCGAACAAAATTATGTCATCAGCATATTCTAAGTTAACAAGAGAATCTCCGGATAACAGTTCAACACCTGAAAAGTACGACGATGATTGTCGTCCCTAAAGGCATGTCAGTGACAAAGTTGAGTAGGAATGAAGGAAGTGCAAAGCCCTGACGAACACCAATAGGGGTAATTAATTTAGATGATAGTTCGCCATAAGCTTTGACTTGACCAGTAATGTTAGAGTAGACAGCCTGTACAAGGTTAGCGTACTTCTTTGGTATCCCATTCAATTCACTACGATCAACTGGGTCTATGACGTAATGAAACTTCGAAAACTACTCACATTTCTAAATATGTAACCAACATGTTCATTTATTTAATTTGACTCAGTCATAGACACTCTTACAAATAAAGCTATAATCACTTAGCTTTGCAAGGATTAATATCTTGCGGAAAGATTTAATTCAGAATCTACAGACCATATAGTTCTGTTTGACGAATACGCTAACAAAATTTACGTTCTTTTAATCACCTCCACAAACGATAAAGGCACGTTCGGTATGGATTCTCGCACTTTAAATACACAATATTACTTCTTAGCTTGTACACGCCTAGATTAATGGTAGAAAGTACACTAGTTAGAGGCGTTCACCGATCTATTTATCTTAGGAGTTTCATTAGCTAAGCTAAGCTGATGTCTAATGGAATCTTGGTACAAATCCATAAAGCTCGGTTAGATTTTGCGTATTTGCATCAGCTGTATAATAAATAGTTCAGATATTTTCTAGCCAAAGGATTATTGTGCTTCTTCAGATATTGAATATAACAGCTCTATTTTATTCGAGCCCCCAATAAAACTATACACTAGTTGGTTCTGTCCTGTTTTATTACTAGTATTTAAAAAATAGATATCTTCGAATCGCTGATTATTTTAAGCACATATTACTAGATAAGGATGGTCAGTCAGCTGATGAGGTAATGAATTTCCATCGGCTGAAGTATTAAGATAAGTGTTATGTATATTCGGCTACCGCCTACCTTAATGAGCGATCATGGCAGTGTAGGAAAGACTGTAAACAGATAAGGGTGAATCAGATTAAAACTAGGTATCAGTTCATGAAATCACAACTGCCAGATTGAGAAGTTAGATAGATGAAGGTTATTCGGCTTCAATTTTTATATTCCTTGGGACTAATTAACTGAGTATATATATATATATATATATATATATATTATAGAGAGAGAGAGAGAGAGAGAAT